TCCTTATTTGATGGAGATTAAAATCAGAATTTAGTAAATTTTGATAAAATTTGATGAGATGTGTCGTCAAAAAGTTATGAGACTCATAAAATGTGTGGTTGAAATTAGTTGATAATTTTGACTTCAATTAAAATCTGAATTTTAAATTTTAGGACTTAACATGGGCTAATTGTTAGCTTAATGTACGTTGCAACCCAATTCAAGTTTGAAGCATGCAACATTAAACGACTATTATTTATTTATTTATTTATTTTTGTCAAAAGCTTTAAACACATTTTAACATTTTAATTTTTCAGAAGATAATTCTTTTTAAATAGAACTTTTTTAAAAGGTCGTGCAAGGCCACGTTGTTTTCGTAGAGATTTTCAAATTTAATCTCTGATTGGTACCGATTAAAATATAGATTTTAATGTAAGTTAAAATTAACAATTAATTTTAACAACATATTTTATGGATTTAAAAATTTTTTAATTATATATTTTATCAACTTTTATCAAAAACTACTAAAAATGTAATTTAAATCCGCGGCTTTAAGGAATTTGACGTCGGTACAACTTTTGTAGTCTGGCATGAGAAACTGTAGATTCACGGGCTATGTTGATATTTTATTCTTCATAATATTATGGACCGTGCCACTTGAAAGGGTCTATTCAAGCAGAATAATTTCATCAATTGGAACTTCATCTCCTATAATTAGAATGATTTATAGAACTCCATAGGGAAATCAACAAGGAAAAAAGAAGCAGCAACCACAGCCATGGATTTCCTAACATTTTTGCTTCGTCTTTCGTCTATCTCATGGATATGCTTTATTTTCCATACATTAAATTCAAGGTCCCGGAACCAAGCTCCCACCGGGTCCGTTTGCTTTTCCGATCATCGGAAATATACTAGAACTAGGCAAAAAACCCCACCAGTCATTGGCCAAACTCTCCAAAACCTATGGACCCTTAATGTATCTTAAAATAGGGTGCCTTAATACTGTAGTAGTTTCGTCACCGGAAATAGCCAAAGATGTTTTACTAAAATACGATCAAGTCTTCTCCAGCAGAAGTGTCCCAGGTGCACTCATGGCCAAAGAACACAACAAACTTTCTATAGCGTGGTTGCCGGCGAAAAATCAATGGCGTAAACTTCGCAGAATTTGTAAAGAACAAATGTTTTCAATCCCAAGGCTTGACGCAAGTTGGGACCTTCGCCTGGAGAAATTGCTGAAACTGGGGGACTATGTGAATCAGTGCTGTATTAATGGGCGAGCTGTGAATATCGGTGAAGCTGCTTTTATTACCTCGCTTAATTTGATATCTGCAACACTTTTTTCAGTTGAATTTGCTGAGTTCGACTCTGATTCTTCGCAAGAGCTTAAGGATGTTGTACGGGGTGTGATGGAATGTGCTGGGAGTCCTAATATTGCAGACTATTTTCCACTTTTAAAATATTTTGATCCCCAAGGAATTTCACGCCGGACCAAGTTTTATTTTGAAAAATTGTTTGCAATATTTGATGGTATAATAGATCAGCGGTTGCAGTCAAGAGGTACATCAATG